GAATAGAGTTAAACTTTCCCTCATTTTTTATTCTAGAAGTACTAAAAAGGGACACAACCTCCTTTCTTATATATATGTGGTGGCTAGATTTCGATATGCACAAAACTTTAGCAAAAGTCCAAAGTTTTTGCAGCTTAGGGCCTTGTTATTATTGCTAAGTAGCATCTAGATGACCACTGTTCAGGGGCGGATTTTAGTGAAGCCTGCTGTCTGTGTATTTAATACATACCCGTGACAAATGGTTTTTGTAACTCTCCTTGTTCTCTGCAGAATGCTTTGATTCATTCCAGCAGATGCATCAAACTGTATCATTTGCACGCTCCAGCTGACAAAGATCATCTCTGCATCTTCTCCCTTCCAGACACCACTTGGAAGGCCCCACCGAGGAAAACAAGCCACAGACAAAGTGGCTGGGGCCAGACAAGCAACTCTGACACCCTCCAACACAAAGTAAATCACAGCGAGCGGTTAACAAGCGCGTCAGATGCTGTCGTTTGTCGTCACACACCTACTTATGAGGCAGGAGGCAGGTTTAGAGGGAGGATTCTGGAGTCAGACACAAACATATAAATAGTTTTTCACCGTCATTGCTGCCACTGGTAGCCACAGGGGAAATATTTAGCTACTAAAACAATGGAGTGGGTCAGGTCGGTCCACGAAGGGAAGCACTGCTGTCCCTCCTCCTGTCTTCTGGTCAGCTTGCGCTCCAACATCCACACCCCACCCCCAACCCACTCTCTGTTGTTTTCTCTCTGGTTAGATATAATTACCCCTTCATCATGTTCGGAACAGCAAAACAGTGATCTGTATCTCCATATAGGAATGGTGGCCTAGTCTAAACACAGCCTCTGTGTTGTGCATATTCATGTGTGTGTGCGTGTGTGTGTGTGTGTGTGTGTGTGTGTGTGCGTGTGCGCGAGGGTTGTACAGTAAAAAGAACCAGATCCCAGCATGTGATTCTGCAGGTTGCACGCAAAAATGTGCGTCTGTGTTTGTGAACTGTATCTGTAGCTTGTGTGTCAGTACACGTCACTGGCTGTGGGTCAGTGTGTGTGTGTTTGTCGCACACTCTCACTCTCTCGCACACACACACACACACACAAAAAAAGGTAAACACTGAGATAAGAAATAAGACAAGAACACAAATAAAAGGCATAATTGGTGGCACAAATGTTGGATTTAAAAATATCTTGTGAACTTTTCTAAGCAAACAAACACACAATGCACCACATTTTCGACACCCATGTGCACACACACACGCACGCACATATTTCATACATCCTTGTCATCAGAGAAACGTACACTTCAGGTCATTACCCTGAAAAAGCTTTTCCAAACAAGCCACAGATAAGCAAATGCCAAATTGGGAGTGTTTTTCCACAGAGTCACTGAAGTGTGTGTGTGTGTGTGTGCATGTGTGTGACTCTCAAATGGACTTGACACATGCTGCACAGAGCCATGAGAACTGTTGTTCCCATGTTAGTTTCTCTCCCCTTGTGCTAATTGAAGGTGAGTGATGAAAGCTCTTGACACAAAATAAATCACCAATTAACAAACACGAAGGGAATTTGAAAACTCTATATGGCCAAACTGGTCGGCACTGGAGGAACATAAGGTCAAATGTAAAGGTGGAAAGGCGTCAAAACTCACAAATCTGGGAATCACCAAGTTGCAACTGAGACATGTACAAGTCGTGAGAGAGTTGGAAGAAAAAAAGGGCAAGCTTAGACCAAGAAAAATGAAAAACAGAGGGAGAGATGGTGAAAAAGCACTAAATTTGTAATCTTGCCTCCCTTCAGGGACACAGTTCTGAACAGCATCCAAAAACTTGAGCTTTTTTGAACAAATAGCTGACATGCCTCAGAAGAGAGGTTGTTTATCTTGGGATGGAGTGAAGGGGAGAGGGAAGAGGGATGCAAAGAAAGCCTGGGAGAGAGGGGGGTGGCTAGAACACAGGGGTGGACAGGAGGATTTGAGATTGTGCAAAATCAAAAGGAGGCAGAAGAGAGATGAGATGCTTGGGAAAGCGGTCTATAAAAAACAATGACAGCTTTGGCGGATCTACGGGAATAATATTTTGTATCCCAAACTCGTAGCAACAAAGACTCGAGCGGCCTCCGAATCAGGAAAACCAGCAGCCCCCAGACGGAGAGTTAATGTAAGAATAAATCTGCTGGAGTGTGAAGTCAAACAGTGCTATGAGTCATAAAGTGGTTTAGAAAGATACAAGAGTCTGCAGGAGAAGAAGTGACAGATACAGAAAAGATCATGCTACAAAACCACTTCCACATGAATCTGCAGTTTCACAGAAAACCTGTTTTACTTGTAATGTCTTAAAAAAGGTTTGCAGACTGAAGTGCTGACTTAATTCAGATAACATATCAGCTGAGATAACAGCAGTCAAAAAGCACAAAAAAACACTTAAGGCTCTTTTCAAACATGATTTCATCAGAGCAGTGTGATATCAGCCCTGCTATAAGGCATTAGTCAATCATCTCCAGTTGCATTTGGAAGGTACCGTCTAAAAATAACCCATTACATAACCTTCAAAAGACATATTTCAACAAGAGAGTCATTACCAAAATATACATGACTGTAACAACAGGACGGTGGAAACAGGAAATATATTACAAAGGCAACATTAAGCTGTGGAGGCATTCAGATCTTCCACTTACTTGGCAGTGAGACCACAAAGTGGAAATTCTCTGTCTAAAGCAAGGGGCAACGTATGAGGCTAAAAAGTGAAGTCAATGTGAATTACGAAAAACTGCAGTTCCTCAGACGTTCACTTGAGGCTGGTTCCAAAAGGGAGTCAATCCCCACTGACTTCCATGTTCCTATACAACAGAATTAAACATGTTTTCAGCCTGGTACAAAAACAGTTTTGGTCTCTATACCTAATTTCCCCTTCGATGACAACATTTTGTGTGGTGAATTTTTACAAAACTCTTCCATTTGTATTATATTAAAGTTTAAAGTTATGCATAATTAAGGGTGTAGGGCATCTTTGTTCATTTTCAGATTATGCAGGTGTCAGGAGGAGTAAGGTATTGCCAAGATGGTGACGTCCACCAAGAGTTGCAAAACCCCTCTTGAGGAAACCCATGAGTAAGGCTTCATTCATTTTTAGCATTAGCATCAAAATGTAATATTATTATTATGTAATTCAAAAACATCAGTAATGTTTCTGCTGGTAAAGGCAGAGCTAATTGTGACTACTTTAGTTATTACTGGGTAGTTTAATTCAAAATAATACATCATAATTTATTAGCTGACTATATTTTCTACAAGTGATGTGAATCTGCACCGTAGAAGTTACTTTATGTTACTGCTATGCTTTCATGCCATTCCTGACGGCAGAGTTGCTCTTCATGTGTCTTTTTCTTTTGGTTCATACTCCTTATACAATTTTTATTTACTACTCCTGGTTTATTCTTGTATTGTTGTATTTTCTTCTGAGCAATATCTGGCACAAGAATGTCCTTTGAGATTAATAAAGTGCTACCATGTCTTATCTTAACGTATCCATGTAAAGTCATTGTAATAAATTCAATCACATCATCAAACCAAGACTACAACAAATATCTTTACGCAGATGATTCTGTCCTATTTTCTCCCCATGAAAAGCCCCAAACCAACTGTGTATTGGTACTCAATACTGGGAAGGCTATTTAAAAAAGAAGTGAAGTTGATGGCAAATATTACTAAAACAAGTTTATAACGAGTTTATACTGTACTTGTTGGAGTATGATCAGGTACATGCACTTTTGCTCCTCTGGTGAGTATTTAAAGCAGCAGAAAAGTAAACTGTAGCATCTAAACTTATTACAATAAATAATATATGACCCAGTACAAGGATGGGGCTCAGTGATGACAACAGGCTTTGGCTACATAGACAATACTTGTTCGTAGGATCAATTCATTGTGTGGGCATTTTAATTAGGTGTGCAAACTGGGCTAAAATGTTAACCTGTGTTTGCTTGTAGTTATTGTGCAGATTTTTTGGAAAGAAATGATGTAAACAAGTACAAACTGGGATTTTATGCAAGAAAACCAGCTTGTATGTTCTGACTTTACATTGGACAGCGACATTCAGTCAACAAATATCCAAAGTTATGATGAATGAATGTGCTGAAAGCTCCGTTGCTTGTTGGCTCAAGTGAATGAATCTGTGTTGAAGCTGGAGTGAAGGCAGAGCAGCAGTGCCAACACTTCATGCCCGGGGAGTGTGGGCAAAAGTGGCAGCAGGAGACAACACAGACCAAATACAGCCATGTAGCCAGACACACGCACACACACACACACACACACACACACACACACACACACACACATTGACACAATAATCCTCAGATGCCCTCTGGTACTGTATATACAGATTAGAAGTGTGTATTAAACAGTGTCTGTACTTAAAGGACGCTCAGCCCTTTGTCACCAAACACACCATAACTCAGCTGATGTACAAGTGATAAGCTTCATTAAACATTTAAATGCAGCAAACTGTACCCATTTAAAGGCAACAAGTACCCAAATGTTTCACTCAGTTTTCTCCTGTCAATTTGAAAATACTAAAAACACAAATCATTCCCCAAAGTTTCATCAAAGTGTGAGACACTACAGTACAAACTAGATACCATACAAAGTGCTGAAACAGAGAGATAAACCTCCTGACTGAACACGCTCAAGTGCAACCAAATGTCTTGAACTGCAGTATTACTCTACTTTAGTGACGGGAGCTACTCAGTAAGAAATCCACTGGGTTCAGTTTAAAACTGTTTGAAAAAATGTCTGGGTATTTGAGAAAGCAATAACTGCACATTAAACGACTTTTTGAAAAACTTGTGTAAACAGAGGACAACTGAGGCCTTTGTGAGATTGTGAGAAGGGTGTTTTTCTTAAACAGTGAACGATGGCAGCTTTCCAGACTGTGTGTGATTGTGTTATTTCCTTTTGCCTACTTGTGAGCACGTGTGCGTTTGTGTGTGTGTGTGTGTGTGTACCTGGGGGTTCGTGGGCAGCAGCGGAGTGTTGTAGCTCGCTCAGAAGTGGTATGCGGCTGTGGTGTCATCGATTGCGGTGAACGCTGGCAGACTTGCAGGCCACCTCGGAGCTTTAACGACAGACATGCCTGCCGTGGGCCTTTGAGGACGGGATGAGGATTGTGTTCCTGTTGATAAGGCTCTGTTTCCTGTTGGACGGGTCAGCGTGGAACCATTGTCATGTGCTTTTAATGGGGGGCTACACCTCTGACGGCTGTACTCTGCACGTTGGAGGAAGCTCTGCAGTGTGGGAGCAGTTAATTTAATTGAAGGTTAAAGCTGAACCTGCTGAGATGCTTATATAAACTCTTCCTACCTCGAAGTGGATCTGCAGTTGTTGAAATCAACTTATCCCTCAGATGGAAATACTGTTCTAAAAGAGACTGAAGAGCAAATTACAACTGTGTTATAAACAGCAGTTAGTAAGTCATTTGTCCAGTGACTCACTACGAGCCTCGACTCCTTTTTGAAGTTGAATCATTACAAATATAAGCACGCTGACGTCAGATTTTCAGGATTTTAGTTCAAACTGTTTTTAAAGTTACATGGCAACACCACCAACATGCAAAACTGACTGTAGTAGCTGCAGCCTCAAGAAACCATGTAAGTTTAACCATGTTTCAGTCTTGGTGTAATGGTTTATTTCCCTCCACTTCCTTTTTGATTTTTTCATAGTTTTGTCATGAAGAAAAGGAACAGGTTGACATATACACTGTACTGCACTGAGTTATGCTCACTGAGAATAGCCTGTGTGCACATTAACGTCCACAACAAGTGGTCAAGTTGTAAAGACTGACAGTTGCACCTTGAGGTGAACTTGAGAAATGTATGGATGTTTTTGTGTCAACAGTGTCACAGCTCATTTCAATTTTATTTTTTTGTAATCACATGCACTTGTTACACTGTACATTTCAATGAAAGTAGTAGTAATAGTCATAGTTATATATTATAGGCAATATGCTTATTTGCTGATTATAAAAGAACTACTCTGGAAAACTAGGAATAAAGCTATTTTTGCCACAATGCTATCAAACATAAACTAAAACATGTTTGCCACTGATGCCAAACTTGTTAGCAGAAATTTACAAGAGGTTTAGTATCACTGGCTACCACAGTGGTGATAGTAGTAAGAGTTATATGTTATGGGAAACATGCTTATTTGCTGTTTTAGCAGAGACTTAAATAAGCAAACCTCTATCATACCTGTGAATTAAATATGAAGCTACACCCAAGCGACAAGTAGGTTAGCTTAGCTTAGCTTAGTCCAGCTTAGTCTAGCCGAGTTAAATGACGTCATGACGATTTCAGTTCAGACTGTTTTCAAAGTTATGCAGCAACATTGCAAACATGTGAACCTGCCAGTAGCTTTAAAAATTGAATGTAATAATTGCTTGATAAATAAGAAAGCCACTCTCACATATGTGGATTAAATATGACGCTACAACCAGGCAGCAATTAGCTTTGCTTGACTTAGCTTAGCCTAGCGTACAGACTAGAAACACTTGGGAAACAGTTAGCTTGGCTCTGCCACCTGCTAGCCCCTTTAAAGATATATTAAACCACTTATTCTTTATCAAAACTACAAGTTATTGTTTTGTATAGATGTAACAAATGGGATAAAACATGTTTACGAGTGAACAGAGCTGCTGGTCGGCAGGTTTAATTGGCTTTGGTCAAAGTTACCAGGCTAGCTGTAAGCTAACCTCTCCTAACAAAGCCTTATATTTAATGGATGTAAATAAAGTTGCTATTGATGTTAACATCTAATTTTATGCCAGACTTCTCCAAAACGTTAACACTTAACCACACAGTCATATTACTATCAACAAATGGTTGGTACATTAGCAGCTAGCCTACAGTTTCATTTTAGTTAGTTTAAGTCATGTAGAAGCCCCCAGTAGAAGTTATTTTCAGGTTTAGCTCATGTTAAACTGTGAGGTTATTGAACACTGAGGCAACCTGAGTCACCCTGACACTGTTTCATAATTATGTATTTCCCTGTAGCTGCAAGTCAGCAGATGCTCAGCTGATGAAGTCTGATGAGAGGCACTTGACCACAGTTACAAATAAACAAAAAAAAAATGAAAATAAATACACATCAGAAAATACAAAGTAGCTACTGTCACATCCCAAAATGTGTCATATTAACAACGATGCCTAAAAGAGATACAAATGAGTTAAGTTTAAGTTTGACTGTAAAATCACCGGGTCGTTGCTTTACCTATTGCTAACCGTGCTGACAGGTCCTGCTACGGACAGTGAGGTGCAGCATGGAGCGGTGTGGGAGCTCCTGGTGCGGCTCTCTTCATGGTTTCGCTGGTATTTGAAGCTCAGCGCCGCCCCTTTCCTCATCCTCCGCGCTGCGCCGCTCCGCACATCGGCGCACCAGCGGGACAGTCCGGCTGCACCAGCGGCTCGCTCGGACCTCCCCAACCCGGAGCGCGTGTCTGCTGGAAACGTAATTAAACCGGAGGCGCTTTGTCAATTCCCTGAGGTGAGTCTTTATTCAGATTGGCTCTGTAGTGTTTTAGGATAGAAAGGCTGTAATCCTCAGTGATAACTTAATGGGAATTTGATTTGCCTTTTATTACCAGTCATGCACAGACTGGGAGTGTGTTTGCTTTGAGTGCACTGACTTTGAAATGAGTTTTTGGGTGCAGATTCCATCATTGTGGATATTTAATATATCTTATAATATTCCTTTGTATTTGCATGACATTCTTAGTTTTTACTATGATATTTATACTCCTCAGATATGACTAGGCTGCTGTTTGGAGAGTCAATAACTTTACAAAGAACTTATCAATTGCCTGCTGATATCATTGTGTGACAATCAGCATGAAAATACAGTTTAGTAACTAATAGAAATGGCTGAAAAAGTTTCCCACAGACCAGAGGAAGAAAGCAAACACATTCAGTGTCAGATAAGGCAGCAGCATTAAGACTTGTAAAGATGTTGACTGAAACTTGCTGTATAGTGTTAATAGTCATGCTGTCTAAGGTCTTTTCTCATATGTCTGACATGAAACTCAATCTGCTCTGCAACATATTTATACCCAGCAGCAGCAGCAGTTGTAGCAGTAGTATATCATTACTATTTGCCCGCTGCAGCCTTGGTCAAAATAAATTGTGGCTCTGCTTTGATTTTTATCAGTCCGCCTTGTAATTACAGAACTTACGCAACATAACCTATCAATTTTCAGACATGTCAATGACATTTCCAAGATGTCCTCTGATTCAGGGGAACTTGACAGAGTGAAGTTGAAGCTGGCCAATGGCCTTGAGGTGTTTTAATTATGGAGACAAACAGGCAGCACAGTGTTGGACTCATTACAAGTCGGGGGCAGCGGCCTTATGACCCCACAGCCTGCCAGCGAGCCACCGGGGAGGCCACCATGTGAAATAGCACAACCACACACACACAAACACATAGAAAAGCCCGCCAGTAAAACAAACAAGCACTGTGGTGATCAATAAGTCAGCCTGCTTCAGCGATGATAACATGAAATCCAATAAACGACTTGCAGCGATGGATCCAGTCTCCCTCGCTGTACAGTGTGCGACTTTTTCATGTTTAACTAACTCTGTAATTCCCCGAGTTAATCTCCCCCGGGTAGGCGTACAGTATATCCTTCTTGACTGCATGCTTTGATATTGTCATTTTGGTCTCCTGTACGCAGCAGCAGATGGTTAACACATGCATGTAATATGTTTCCTGTACATCCCCCTCCACATGATTTACACTAATGATACGGCACTTGTCAAAGCACTTGATTAAGTAAATGAAAACAGACATTCCCTGTGGCTTTTCCTCTGTAGTGTTCTTTCTTTCTTTTTTTTAACCTGAGTCCTACATTCCTTTGAGGGGGAACCTCTGTGACCTTTAGGTGTCATTGACGCAGCCTACCAGGAAAGGGTCAGTTGCGGAGGTGTGAACTCAGAATATGTATTTTGCTGTATTTGTTTGCTGTATTTGTTTTCACACCACAGAGCTCCTTGGTCTTTTTTTTTTCGCCACACAAGGTGATGATGGGAAATCTGCACCGCCATCATTGTCTGTTGTCACCAAATGGTCACAACTTACTCATCTAACAGCAGGATCCAACCCCATAGTTAAAGAGTACAGCGAGTTTCTAAGAGATTGAGCGTGGTTCAACCCATCCATCAGCAGCAGACAGGCTACTGCTGTCAGTGGTGTGAAGGGACATTTGTGTCCCAAAATATCTGAGCTTGCGCCAGATTCAGCACTGGAATGTGTAGATTGTTTGGTCTTTCAGTGGTTTACCAGTGATACTGACAGATAGAAGGCAGCAATAGAATAATTACAACAAATAAAACATGAAAGTTGCTAAACTTAAATGAATATTGTTAGTGTCTACATCGCTCTTATTTTAAATATAAATAACTATTAACTGAATAAATATCTGTGGGTAATCAACTAAGAAAAAACCCTATAAATGAATAATGAATAAATTGTTATTGCATTTAACTACAGCTACAATCATGAGATAGCAGCATCTCCTACTGCTGGTCAGTTTGACATGTGACATTGCAGTAAACATATTGCGTCATTCGTGTTGCCAACGTGCTGTGTTCAACTGCTGTTTACAGATTTGTCCCTGCTCATCTACATCATGGAAAATGACCCTTAGCTACAGCAGCTCATTAGGCCTCAGTGTCCAGTGCATATTGAACCTAACGTAACCCCTGTTAGCTTCCCTCTGAGCTGGTAATTGGTCGATGCTGATTATCTCAAAATGACATTTAACTTTCTGACCAATGAATCGAGCTTTCATTAGTGTCTGTGGAGGCTAAATGATAGGCTGCTGGATTTTAAGGGGCAACCAAATTTAGTTGTTAGTTTTCTATACAAAAACAACAGAAACATATGGATCCTTTGCATTTTGTCAATTAAGAACCAACCTGTCACTATACAATCAAAACAGGTTGTTAAGAATATGATGAAGTTTGCATTGGTCTATAGGAGCGGTGACACTCGGCCTATAGGACATCTCCAAAATGAAAACTACAAGAATAAAAGCATAAGAAATGGAATTAGTAGGGTGGCAGTCATTAGCATGACTAGCTAATTATTTCTACACCTGACATTA